GACTTCGATGGGCATTCACGAAAGTCACGATGTTGCAGATGCAGCCTTTTGTTTGGGGACTATTGTCCTGCTGTGGCTCCCATGAAAAACTGGCTGCTTATTCCTATAAGTGTCTCCTCTGGGCGGTAACTTTGAGGAACTCCCTAATTACGGTAAGTAATTAAATTCAGAATTGCTACTGACCACGTAACACCCAAGTTCCACGCATTGTTTCCCTTCTTAATGGACATTTAATACAAATACATGAGCTCATTTACATTAAATGAATAAGCTATTATTCGTTTATTATGCAAGTTTTGCAATAAATTCAGTAATTTATGAAGTTAATGATTTGATGAAGTTAAATCCCATCAAAACAACTTGTTTAACCTCATAGAAGTTTAATCAATGTAAATTGAATAAAGTTAAACTCAACTGATGCCTATGAATTACACATCTAATCACGTCAAAAACAGACCATATTTTATCGTGTACAATGAGCACTTTTGCCCAAATTTCTGAGGGGAAAAATAAGGATGCACATTATACACGGGCGGTACCTGAAATACCTTGTATCTACGCTTGTGCTTTGTGATTATTTGTCACATAAAACTTCTCGTACCGTAGCACGTTCAAAAATAAATGCCGAAATCCCTTCATCATACAAAAAACCAAGTATCTAAATATAAATACAAACTGAATTAAAACATTAAAGCAAAAGATTTTTTTCCCCCCTGAAAGTTTGGGCCAAAAAACATTGGTGCGTATTATACACAGCAAAATGCGACATTTCTTGATGCAGAAAGAAAGAAAGAAAGAAAGCCAGCCAAGTTAGGAGCGAAATGCAGGTCTATGCCCTTACTCTTTCCTAAATTTCTAGTTATTTTCGGCACTGAAGCCAGTGTGTTAGGACCCAAAGTATGTCATTCCTTACTGTGGCACTTGCTCTCCCACAGCCGCTAAACAACTACGAAAGGGAAGGGTGGGAAATCTTTTATAAAAGCGACATTTTGGGGCATCGCCAACCAGCTCCCCCCACCGCACGACTGAGGTATAGGCAAGAGAATTTCGTGCCGGGGAAGGGTGGCGGAGTCTGGCTGGGGCACCGCAGGGCACCCAGCTCCGAGGCACCCCGGGTCCCCACCCTCGGGGTCCCCACCCTCTGGGCCTCGGACTCTCGTCCTCCCCCCACCCCCCACCCGACAATCAGACACGTCTCTCGGAGGAGACACGAACCCAGCTGGGAACTACCGCCCAAGATCGAGACTGGGGTATTTTCGGGAACCTCCCAGCACGGTGGGCACCGGAGAGAGAAGTGAGGCACCCACACACACCGTGGGAAAGCAAAGAGCAGCGGACAAGCCTGACCCCCAGAGTGGACGGGAAGGACACGGAGCTGACTCGTGTGAGCAGACAAACAGCACCTCCTCAGGGGCGTCTCATCAGCGGGCGACCACGAGAAGCCACCGTCCCCTCTCCCTCGAAGCGACCGGTCCATCCAGTTATCCACGTGGAGTTCACGTCTCCGAATCAGCAAGCTTACGGTGCCCCGAGCTCACAGGAAGCGACACTGCTTTGGATAAGTCAGACCAGCAACGCCCCACTTACCCCCACCGCCCCCAGGACTGCTGCACCACCGCTCTGGGGCGCCACCTTAAGGCGCAACCCCGCGCCCCACACGTGGTTTCGTCTTTAACGCGGCACGCGGTCCAGCTGAGACCCGCATGTTCCAGTTGGTCCCCATCACACGATGCAGTTTGCTGACGGATTCTGATGGGAAGCCCTCCAGGCGCCAGGCACGAGCCCCCCTCGGGGTCACGGCACCGTTTGAGGACAACGACCCGAATCCGTTGTGCCCTGCGGGGGACTTGACGAAGACAAAGCAATACTAGGAGAACGTTGGAAAACTCACAGCGGAGAATTTCCATGTGTTCACCCAACGGTTCGAAGGAGTGTGCTGTTTTAATTAGCGGAGCCTGCTCGGGATACGGGATATGGCTAAAGTGAAACAGAGCGCTAATGTAACAATTACAACTGAGACAAGCAGTGAGCACTGGCCACCCTGGCCGGGAGACAACTGCAAGCACAGACGAGTTAGAGTGCAGAAGGCCGGTGCTCAGAGTCTGCGGCACCCACACCACACCCGGGGTCTCGGGGGTTCTCGGGCTCTTCCAGGGAGAGCGCCCACCACGGACGGGCAGCACACAGGTGGGGGCTGTCCCAGGGGACCCCCCCAGGGGGCTCTGCACCTCTCAGCACCACAGTTTCCCAGGCTGGACGGCGGAGGCGAAAACAGCAGCAGCCTCCGCAGGCTGGGTGAGGAACCCGTGGAGACTCAAACCAGCACGCGGTCCCACGGGAACCTGTGCACGCACCCGCACCGTGGCCCACACGCAGAGACCCCCGACGACGCCCTTCCCACAGGACGGGGATAATATACTCTGCCACTGCTCAGCACTGAAAAGTCATGAGCTGGTGCGCTCCACACACCCTGGTTGGATCGCAAGGGCCTCAGGGTCACGGCAGAGAGGCCTTCACCCCCCAGCGGCCGCACGCCGCAGGAACGCCCTCGTGGAACACTCCCGAAAAAAAAAGAGGAAGTTGAGAGACAGGGGGAGTCCCAGTGGTTGGCAGGACAGGGTGACCCTGACCGGGAATCGCATCGCGGACCTTTCTTTTCGGGTCGCCGGCTAGCGCTCGACCCCCCGAGCCACCCGGGCCGGGGTCAGCATCCTCCTCCGGAAAACGCGGTCTGCTCCATGAGATGTGACCGCCGGCGGACGAAGGCGGGCAGGGTTCTCTGGGGCTCACGGGACTCCTGCTTTTTTGGTGACCCACGTTTGGTGGGTCTCCCATGACCTCACCACGGAAGCCTCAGACGCAAGAGTGTCCCACAGACGGACAGGAGAGCAAAACGCAGCGTGTTCACACAGCAGGTAGGACCGGGCAACACGAAGGAAGGAAGGAAGGAGCGTGCCTCGAGCAACTAACCACGTGCGTGGACCCCGAAACCGGGACGCTCCGTAGAAGGAGTCAGCCCCGAAGAACATCGTTCCGCGCTTTCGGAAACACCCGGAACGGGCAGATCCACACACAGGCCACTGGCTGCCGGCCGGGCGCCGAGAGCCAAGACGGGCAGGGGTGGCCGATGGCTGCGGGACGATTTGGGGGGAGTGATGAAGTGGTTCAGAATCGCCTGCGGTGACGGCTGCACAACTCAGCCAACACGCCAAAAAAAAAAAAAAGGAAGGAAGGAAGGAAGGAAGGAAGGAAGGAAGAAAGAGAAAGAAAGAAAGAAAGAAAGAAAGAAAGAAAGAAAGAAAGAAAGAAAGAAAGAAAGAAAGAAAGAAAGAAAGAAAGAGAAAGTATCCTTCCAATGGGTGAGCTGTTCTGTTGCTATGTGGGTTGCATCTCAGTCGACATTATCAAAACACGGCAATGTGTCGTATCTCACGCTACGTATTTTGTCTCGATTTACCCAGTTCTTCCCCTGTGGGGGATGGCTATGAGTCACCTTCGGTTCTCCTTCAACATACACTCGGCCCCTGCGTTACTGATGGGCTGTACCTGTCAGGTGCGTCCAGGCGGACCCAGGGGGGGGCGGCCCTCGGGCTGAGAGTCAGGCGGGAGTCTCCTTTGGGCAGGTTTTAAGAAAGCCCTTGACCCTTTCGGCAGGGTCAAGGGTAAAGAAAGCCCTCCCCTTTTGTTAATGTCGTTTCTGTTTCCCTGTCATTCCCCTCTACGCCACTAACCTGGTTTATCCACTTTTCCCGGAAAAAAAAAAAGAAAGAAAAAGAATGCTCTCTGACTTCTGGTTCTTCACCTTTGCCCTCTGGAACACCCTTCTCCCATACGTGTCAAAGTGCCACCCCAGCAACCAACACTCAAGTCCCCCTTCCTGGAGGAGGCTCTGCCTTTCCTGGTGGCTCCGGCACATGCTGGCGTGTCCATCCTCTGAGTCCCCACGGCAGAGCAAGTCCACACTATCCCCAGCATGGCCGTCCAGACAGGGGGCACCCGTCCGCGCCACAGCCCGGTGTCCCCACCCCTTCACGCACGCAGCTGCCATGCCTCACCCCCCCTGCGAGGACCTGCCCTGCTCATCGCCCTCTGCCCCCCAGCGCCCCAGGAGCAGCCGGTTCCCAGAACAGCCCCATGGAAGACCCTCCCCGCACCACGCTCTCAAAAGGCTCAGCGAGAACCGGCCTCGTCGCCAGTGGCGTGAACGAGAGCCGCAGACAACCATGGCGGCCGCACCCCCCGGAGCCCCGTCCTGGGACTCTCCTTGAGACGCTGTCCCCCGCAGGGCTCCCACGACAGAGGGGGCCGCCTCCCAGGCCCCACTGCCTCAGGAGGGCCGCAAGCGGGCTTTGCGAGCACCGTGCTGGCGGGTGCCCGAGCAGCCACGCTGCTGCCTGTCCTGTCCCCACACGCCTTCCGAGAGCAGCTCCCAAGACAGGAGGAGCCTGTCGTGGAGGAAGCCTTGGATGCTTCCTAGGAATCGGCCTCCTGAGGGCAAGCCAGGACCTCAGGGGGAGGTGGGAAGGAAACGAGAAACAGCCCTTTTCTAGGACGCGGACGCCCCGTCGCCATCCCCTGCATTGTCTCTTCCCAAACTTCTGACTTCCAGAAGCTACATGAAAAGTTTGCAGCCCTGGCTGGCGTAGCTCAGGGCATGGAGCGCGGGCTGCGAACCAAAGCGTCGCAGGTTCGATTCCCAGCCAGGGCACATGCCTGGGTTGCAGGCCACGGCCCCCAGCAACTGCACATGGATGTTTCTCTCTCTCTCTCTCTCTCTTTCTCCCTCCCTTCCCTCTCTAAAAATAAATAAATAAAATCTTAAAAAAAAAGTTCGCGACGGCCCGTGGAAGCCGGCAAAAGCACCCAGTGGGAGAAACCTGGACCCGTCCCCGATGCCGGGGGCTCCCGGCCCTGGCGGCACTATTCCGCGCCCGGACACGGGAAGGGGTCGCTGGAACACGCAGGACGCCGGGGGGCACCCCTTCCACAACTTCACTTACTCAGAGACACGCGGGGCTGGGGGGGGCGGTCCCTCCTTCCTTCCAGGGGGCGAGTTCACGCCGCCTTCCCGCCTTCCGCTACCTGTGAAGGGAAAACACCCAGAGTGAGGCTCGCCCGTCGGCACGCACACACACACACACACACACACACGCACACGCAGGTGTGTCCCCGACAGTGTTCCCCAGGACGGAAGCCACCCGTGTTGGCGCCCCAGGAGCCAAAACACAACGCCGTCGGCAGGCGGGGCAGCCGTCACTGGCGAACTCCAGGCTCACGTCTGTTTGCAGAGCCCGGTGACGCCGTGCACACACACATCCGCGCGACACGCTCACGAGCGCGGGACCGGTCCCGGCATGGCGCCGGCACGAAACTCTGCTCTCACGGCGGCAGGCGCGTTTCTCTCCCCCGGCCCGAAGCGCGCCGAGTGCACACGGGCGTCTGCAGGGTCGGCAGGCACACGCTCACCGGCGCCCAGCCTCCCCCCCCAACCCCGTCGTCTCCTGGACAACGGGCACAGAGCTCGGGGCTGCTCGGGGGGGCCCCCCTGGGCTGCACCCACGAGATGCTCATAGCGATCCACAGGTGCTGCCTCTGGGACCGTCACCACGGAGCCCAGACGTGGCCACGTGCGCCCTGCAGGGCACAGCTGCCCTGCTGAGTACAGGATGGGACCCCAAGAGAAGGACCTGGCCCATGACACAGACAGGAAGTGTGTGGGAGGGAGGCGGCAGTCCAGCATGGTGGCAGTGTCCCCGGCAGAATCTAGCACCAAGACTCTGTCTCAGAAATCATAAAGAGACGTGCAAGTGACCACCGTGAGAGGACTCACAAGGACCAAGGAGGACACACAAAGAGGACTGCAAGGAACCCCACGGTCTCCTTTTCCTATGTTCGCCGTGTGGGAGAAATCTAGAGGGGCTTCTGGGAGGCGGCGGCACTCCCATTGGCGCCTAGAGTCAGGCGAGGAGGAAGAGAAAGGGGCTGCATCTTGCGTGGTGCTGGAGGCAACTCACAGGGACAAGAAGAGAGAATTCTGGAATTTCTAACCATGTCGGGTCACGCCCTAGAAGGCTGGTGGGTGGACAGAGTGGGGCTGCCCCGTCCAGTGGGGGGACAAAGGGGCTGCCTAGACAACACCGCCCTGTAGATGGCACAGTCCCAGGGGTGGGGGGTGACTCCCCGATGCTGGACAACCTGTGGAGTCCCACCCAAGCAGCAGCCAGGCCCCCCCACCAAAGCAGGGCCGGCCACTCAGGAGGCAGGACCTCCGCACTGGGGGGCTTCACTATTTCCATCCCCAGTGTCCACAGCTGCAGAGGCCCCAGCCAGACCTTTCTGTGTTGCACCGCCCGGGCCCAGCCTCTACCCCCCAGAACGGTCCCCTCGGGACCAGCAGGAGCTGGGCCAAAGGGGTACCTCATGGGAAGATTAGAGCCACGACCTTCCTGCCGCCTTTCCTTTCCTTTTCTCTCAGCTTACGAGAGCTCACAGCCCCCACCCGCCCCCCGACCATGCACCACGCTCAGAACCCTCCACTGGGGTGCAAAGCCTCGCTGTGCACGGACATTGCATTCAAAAGCAAAAGCACCGAGGAACGGGCCTCACGTTGCTCCTCGTTAATTGGAAGAAACTCTCTCTGGACAGAGACTCCTCAGCTGTGAAATGAGGGTCTTCCATCACGGATGAGCTTCCTGCGCATCCCAAAACCCAAGGAGCCGTTTTCCTGCCGACTGCTCTCGAAAATGAAAGGCCACACAACTCGCCAAGGGCGGAACCAAGAACTCGCAGAAGCACGGGGCCTGAGGAGGGAGGGAGGGAGGGAGGGAGAGATCAGGGGCGCATGGCTGTCTGTCTGTCTGTCCCGCAGGGACAGGGCATAGAACTACACCCAAAGGGGGCACGATTCTCCCCCACCCCCCGTTGCTATGACGATGACGCGCATTTCCACCCCGGTGGAATTCAAGCTGTACTGTCATGGAAATGACGAGCAAGAACCTAAAGCGTGTTTTTCAGAACCACCGGCGGGACAGAGAGAAGCTGCGGTTCCCTCCTGAGTCCTCCTCCGCGTGGGGTGCACCCTGGGGCTGAGCTGGGCACTGCATGGGGGGTGGGATGGGGCATCGGGACGCAGAGACCCTGAACCCCTCCCCTGGCTCAGCTTCCAGACGTTCGCCACGCAGCTGCCATCTCCTCCGGGACCACCCACAGCCGGAACGCGAGTCTGGGATGACGCCCTCGACGGCAGGGTGTAAACCCTTCACATCAGCGGTTCTCCGAGGGAACCACCAGGAGCCAATGTCTGCAGACATTTTTAGCAGTCAGGACGGTGGGAAGAACTCTGCACTTCCCATGAGACACAGGGACCCCTCCCCCCCACGCCCCGCAAACAAAGAACTGTCTGACCCAAATATCAGTCATCGCCAAGGTTCGCCACACTAAAAGTTCTGCTATTTTACAGGAAACATATATATCCTACGTAGTTTCACCCTCCAAATCATCTGGTTCTTTTCCAAGCAACGCGTGTACCTGGTTTTCAAAAGCAAAATACAGGCGAGGCAAAAGGCTCCTCCTTTTACTTATACGCTTTTCAGCACCATGCACCCCCATCTCTCCTTCCCAAAGCAACCCCTCTCACGCCGTACAGGTGGTTCTAGTACGGGCAGGGCTCCCTGGTACAGACTCGCACATCCGCAAAGGACCGGGTCACAATACTCCCCCCTCCCACTGGAGGTGCAACGGATTTGACATTCCCGCACACAGATGATGACTTTCGGTTTTTAAAGCTCATTACCCAATGATGTGACTCCCTCATTTTCCAATGGTGTGACTGTTGGGGGTTGTTCTGGCAATGCAGTGGACACTAGGGGTGCAGTATGATGGCAAATGACAATGACTCCATTCCTACACAGCTTTTGGGTTTCCCTGGATTAGTAGTTGCCTCTGTTTTTACTCCGTCGTCTTCTTTGGCGACTCTCCCAACCATCTCCACAATCTTTCCATTCTGCTCTTTCATGTGACCAATCTTCCCATTCCACTCTTTCATGTGATCAAACCTCTTGGATAACCTGTCAATGCCATCCATGCCTTTCTGCCCAAATCCACACACACCCCCCAGAAATTTCTCGTCTCTGCTGCCCCGCTCCGTACTGGCCAGCTTTCGGGCTGCTGACGAGCCCGAAACCACTCAAGTGTCCTGAGGGTTCCTTCTGTCTCTTTCTGTTTCTGGGGTCCCGGATGCCCCCTTGCTTGGGTTACTCTCTCACTTTGGTGGGACAGATTCTGTAGGAGTCTCCTGAGAGGTAATGTATGAAAAGCTCAGTTTTACCGATCTCCTTAACACAGGGTGCGGCCAAAGTACGTTTACAGCTGCTCATGGGGAAGTACAATAATCGGTAAGTAGCAATACAACAATGAACTCTGTGTTTCATGGACTCACACTGTAAACCTACTACTTCTGCCCCACCTCGTACATACAAATGACTCAGTTGTATTTTAATTCACAGCTGGTAAAGGAATCACTTTCAGATTCGGAGTGGAAATTATTTTCAGACTTCTAGGCTCAGGCTGTTTTCCAGCCTCCAGTGTTGCTGTTAAGACATTTCACATCATTCTGCCCTGACTGGTGTGGCTCGGTGGATTGAGCGCCAGCCAATGTGAACTGTGCAAAGGGTCGCCGGTTCGATTCCCAGTCAGGGCACATGCCTGGGTTGTGGGCTGAGTCCCCAGCAGAGGGCGCTCGAGAAGCAAGCACACATGGATGTCTCTCTCCCTCTCTTTTTCCTCCCCTTCCCTCTTCTCTAAAAATAAATAAAATCTTTAAAAAGAGAGAAATTTGATATTCTGATTCTAGATACTTCTTACGACTTTTTTTTAAAATCCAGGAAAGTGCTTAGATACTGCCTTTAGTCCTAGTACTCTAAAATGATGTGATTATGAACCTTTGTGTAATTAAGTGTTTGTGATGGGCTTAATTTTCATTCACTGATCCAGTCACCTGATGAGCAGTTTCTGCCCCCTTTGGAGTTAAGACCACTCCCTCCCTTCCTTGGAATGAGCATTCGGGGACCATCTGAGTGACGACCTCCCATTCGTCTGATAAAACCATCGTACCCTCACGGTCCAGGGAGCTCCCGGGCCCTGGAGATGGGACTCACTCATACCACCGAGGAAATGACTTTTAGGTCTGCGCTGGATTTTCACCGATTTAAGTTTAAACAGTTACACGTTGGCCAGTGGCTGCCATTAAGCAGCACAAGCCCACAGTTCTGACAAAACAAGAAAACGGGATATAAAAAGGAAAAGCAGTGGCTTTCGCTCCGACCCGAAGACGACAGTCAGTATACATGGTGCAGAAGAAAGCGTCGAGTGCACTCCCCCGCCATTACTACTTTCAATACGAGGCGCTGCGATTTACCTGCTGTGGCCACTTCCCCTGTAAGAACTCGGGCACTTTTTATGTAGGTATGTATGTATTTGTTTTTTAATATACTCTTTTTAAAAAGATTTTATTTATTTATTTTTAGAGAGGGAAGGGAGGGAGAAAGAGAGAGAGAGAGAGAAACATGAATGTGCGGTTGCTGGGGGTCATGGCCTACAACCCAGGCATAGGCCCTGACTGGGAATCGAACTTGCGACACTTTGGTTCGCAGCCCGCACTCAATCCACTCAGCTACGCCAGCCAGGGCTCTGTATTTGTTTTTTTTTTATCCTCACCCAAGGACATAACTTCATTGCTTTGAGAGAGACAGGAATGGAGAAAGAGAGAGAGAAACATCGATGCAAGTCAGAAACATGGGTTGGCTGCCTGTGGTACACACGCCAACCGGAGATCGAACCCACGACCTAGGCGTGTGCCCTGAGTGGGGATCGAACCCTCAACCTGTGGTCTATGGGAGGAAGCTCCAAGCCGTGGAGCCACAGCAGGCCAGGGCAAGAACTCGAGGACTTTTTACAGTGGCGTGACACAAGCACAAATACCCCTCTGTCCCTGAGGACGGGCTGTATTACACTCGGCGTGTAAATGGGGCCACCGAGGGCCCTGCCCTCTCGTGGGGGTGGAGAGGGGGGGTCCCACACAAAGC